CAACCGCCGCGCCCCTAAATCCTGCAGGCTGGACCACCTGTACTGCCTCTTCAAAACCGCTGATGGGAAGATGCGACGCATGGACGTGGTGAGCGGGCCCGCGCTGCTTGGCCCCACCACCCGGCGCTGCGACCCTGCGAAGCAGCCTGCGGGCCGCGGCCGGGTTTGCGGGCGCTTTCGTGTGTTGCACGGCTAGCAGATTGGCATTATATACCCAAGCTGGCAGGCGGGTGCACCTGAGCTGGCAGCTGCGGGCTCCTCAGCTGAGAGCTCAGATCCGGCTGCTCCTGATACGCACCAAGACTGCGGGACGCCGGCACACTGCTGATTCTGCAGTGCTTCCCATGCCCTCACCTGCGACGTCCCACCGGTCGCTTCTCCTCAAAATCCTTCTCAGGTTCACGTGCCTTACTGGAAGTTTCCCTATGTGCTACAGGGCTGGGTCGGCTCCACCACCTGGCTGAGGATGCTGCAGGTGGGGCCAACGAAACAATCAACGGCTGCCGAACGCACCAAGCTCGCCTCCGCAGGGGCTCCGCAATGTTTTGCGCAGCTGTCAGCCGTCCGGCGGCTGCAGTGGCTGTGGCGCCGGCGCTGTCACAGCCCGTGTCTCTGTTTTTGCCGGTGCTGCATCCAGCCTGCAATCCTATCCGCAATGCGGCCGTTGAGCAAATTCACGTGAACTCGGGCGTCACTGCCCTCTCCGTTTGTACGCTTTCCTGGCAGGTGCACGCCACCAACCGGGGGATGAGGTGGAGCAAGATCGGCCTCTTCAGGTGGGCGCCGGCCACCTCGCAGCAGCAGCAGCAGCAGCAGCAGCAGCAGCAGCAGCAGCAGCAGCAGCAGCAGCAGCAGCAGCATAATACGCAAGACGTGCCTGTTGGCGGCAGGGGCGGCGGCGAAAGTGAGCACGGTGGCGGCAAACGGCGGCGGACAGATTACCCTGCAGAGCGACCGGTGATGGGCCGACTGTCTGGCGGCGGCGACGGCGGCGACGCTTCATCAAGCGACGAGGACGGTGGAGGTGACGGCGCCGGCGACTGCATGTGCGGCGGCGAGGGCGGCGACGGGGGTGGGGCTGGTGGTGGAGGGGGACGGCGGCTAGATGAGTTTGGGGAGCCAGTCTATTGCGCCGGGGACGACCCCTTCGGCATCGGCGGCATGTGAGTTGGAGGCGTGGCTTGGGGTGTGCCAATCCAATTGTGCCAAGTTCCGCGCGGGCTGGGCGCTTTGGGTGCGGGTGCTTGTGCGCCTGGCCGCCGCGCGCATGAGCTCAACAGCAGCATGGTGTGCCTCGCGTCGCTGCATGCCTTGGACGTGTGGGTGCTTGCAGAGCATCTCGCTTTTACAAGGCGCTCACTCAAAGTCCAAGGTTACAAATTCACGCGCATATACATACCAATGCACATAAGCACATCTTTTCTGCACCACTTCTGGCAAATTGCCCTCCAACTCAGGTGGCTGTTGGTCCCGGATGAGTCGCCCCCCTCACGCGACAAGCTGGGGTGCGAGGACTGGTGGCCGGAGGGCTGGGGCCCGGGGCGGCGCGTGGAGCGGGAGCGCGACATCTTCGAGCTGCTGGGGCTGCCCTTCCGCGAATTCACACAGCGCAACATATGAACATGACAGCACCACTTCTCCGCGCTACCTCTTGCATACACGGCCGGCGCATGTATTTTATTCTGGTTTTTTTTGTTTGGATCTGGGTTCGACCCCTGCTGCAGGAAGCGCGCTGGGAAAGTGTGCGTTTTTGTGGAGACACTTTCAGGGTTTGGCGGCTTAAGACGCTTTGTTTGGGGGCTCCAATAGTTTGCCCGCTTTTGTTTCAATTCATTGCTTTGCTTTTGGACCCAGGGGCACGGCGTGGTTGTCCAAGACTCATGCACGCTGCGTATGGCTGCTGCCATGGAATCACATGCATCACTTCGACCCTGTTACACGTGAGCGCGCACAAGGCGCATCGTAAACAGCACTCAAAGAGATCGAGCATTTCAGCACGCAAGCGGGAGGGATTCGAGTGGCAAAGGCCAGCTGCATTTTGCATCGGGTCGGCCGTTGCGACTCAACAACTGCACCTCTGTCTTCGTGCCTCCAAGAGCTCAGCCGGGTAAAGCCGGCATTGCTCAAGTACAGGAGATTCCAGGGATTAGGGTCTTGGGTTTTGCGAATTCGCAATTACGCCAGGGTGAACCGCAGCTCCCCAAGCTTGTCGATCACGCTCACAACCTCGTCGCCCGCCTTGAGCCACAGCTGCTGCGACTTGGGGCGCCCGAGGATGACGCCGGCCGGCGTGCCCGTGAAGATGATGTCCCCGGGCTGCAGCGTGAAGTGCTTTGAGATGTACGAGACGAGGTAGGGCACGTCGAAGATGAAGTCCTTCGTGTTGTCTGACTGCACGCGGACGCCGTTGACCCGGGTCTCGAGGTGGAGCGCGTCGGGGTCCCTGACCAGGTCAGATGACACGAAATAGGGCCCGATCGGGGCAAACCCGTCGAGCGTCTTCCCGATCATCCACTGGCCGGCGGGCAGCTCGAGCTGCAGGTCGCGCGCGGACAGGTCGTGGCCGATCGAGTAGCCGGCGACGTAGTTGAGCGCGTCAGCGACGCTGACGTCACGCGCCGCCTTGCCGATGACGACGAGCAGCTCGGTCTCGTAGTCAATCTTGTAGGCAAGGTCCTTCGCCGGGAGCTTCACGGTTGCGCCGTGCGCGGCGAGGGCGTTGTTGTACTTGTTGAACAGCGGCGGCAGCCGCGGCGGCGCCGCGCCGCTCTCGGCCGCGTGCTGGCGGTAGTTGAGGCCGACGCACACGATCTTGCCGGGGTTCGTCAACAGGCGGCCGTGCTTGATGGAGGCCTCATTTACGAGGGCGACCTTTTGCTGGACGGCCGCAGAGACGAGCGCGTCGAGGTCGGCCTGGCTGCCGCCGCGGAGGAGGGCCTCGAGCGTCGCCGGCGCGGGCAGCGCGAGCGCGCGCGACGCGGCGGCGACGTCGACGACCCCAGCCGGCGTCTTGACGCCGAGGGTCTCGGTACCGTCGGGGTTAAGGATGGACAAGGCCACGAGGTTGCGCGGGAGCGTGCCGGGCAGGCCTGCTGCCGCCCGGGCGGGTTCCGTGGCCGGCGTGGCTGCGGGCGTGGCGGCCGGCAGGGTTGCGGCTGCCAAGGGCGTGTCACGCGCGGCCTGCGCCAGCGCGCCTGCGCGGATTGTTGGGCGTTGGGACATGCTGGAGTAGGCTGTGGTTCTTCAAGGGGCGTGGTGGCATGCAGGGGCACGGCTACGAGCGACTTCTTGTGCCAGTAACGACCACAATGCGCGAGCTGGAACCAACAGCGCTCACCACACGCAACCAGCACTGCCATCGCCGCGAGGGCGATCCGGTGCTCCATCGACGAAAAATAAGATTTTAAAAAGCTTTGATGTCCGTGCAGGCCCCTGCAACGCGCCGAAGCCACGACGCCCGTCCCCGTGGGTTTGCGACGGTTTTCCAACGAACGCAGGCTGCAGCCCAAGCAAAGAACAATCGTAAAGGGAAGAAAAACACTACTGAAATAATATCATAAAATCGATATAGGCTTCACACCCGTTCTATCGCTTGGGCAGTGCAGCTGCTGCTCATGGCCAGCGGATGGTGCGTGGTGACCGCGTCAAGGCATTTGAGTGCGAGTGCAAGGCCTATGCCAACAATGATTGACTTGCTAGACAGGCTTCCAATCATTCCCATGTCTGGCGTGTTTTTAAGCACTCCCACACCACACCCATTAGATGCCGCAACAGGGTCCAAGTGCGCCTCCTTGCCAGCCTTGCGGAGAGGTAATTTCTCAGCAAAGCGCACAAGTCCTGGCTGATGGGTTTCCTCGTGGGATGCAGTTCAGCACAACATTTCACCTGCAAACGCTGGAAATCCACCTCAGCCAGCGCAGAGTTCAAAGGCTGTAATGTCCATGACTAAGCATTGAGCAGGATTGTGCTAGTCACGCGTATGAACGCGCACCCATGAATGCTGCTCACGACAATCCTAATCAGGTTTGCGCAGTGCTTGTGATCGTGTGCTGGCCGACTGACTGAACGCAACGACATGCTGACAAGCAAGCAGCACCAACTGGCTACTGTAGTTGACTGGAAGCGTCCAGCTGGTATGCGCGACAGTCGGCTTGTCTAAATTAGACCTGGCCATCCCTGAATGCCCCTGATTCCAGCAGACAGCCCCAACCGGATGAATCAACTAGCACGGAAGCAGCAGCAGGAGGCACAGGGCAGCGAAGCTGCTGCAGGAGCGAGCACACCCTGTCACTCGCAGCCGGTCCCACAGCGGCAGCCCGCCATCGCAAGCAGTTATGACCGGTGTACAAAAGACTTCATTCCCCAGCCCATACAGCTGACGCCGACCCATTGCAAGTCGTACGCAGAAAAATCAAGTGATCAAAACGTGATCTGGTTGATTTGATGCTACCGGCTAGCTGTTTCTATAACGCTGAGCCTATTGCTGACAGCTAGACGAATCCAGTTGCCGCGGGGTGGTGTACAATGCTTTCGGGCATCAGCCTGGCCGACAAGGGGGACTTAGAGAAGGAATACGCCAGGGAGAAGGAGCGATCCAAGAAGCACAAGAAGGTTGGAGTTGCGGCATTGCGGTTGAAAGCGCAGCTGCATCACTGCGCAAGCGTGACGAGCGATACGCCACATCGCCGCTGCTGCGCATGCGGCCGCTGCTGCAGACCAACTGCTGCTATGCCTATCGTGCGCGTAGGAGAAGAAGAAGAAAAAGAAGCAGAAAGAGAAGCACAAGAAGAGCAAGAGTGGGTCGCGCGCGCTGCGGCTCGAGCAGTGCTGCATTTGTGCAGGAAAGCAAGTGTTGCCACGCTTTTTCGTGCATCTCACCGCCGACTCGAGGCGCGCCCCCCAACCC